ATGCTAGGGATCATGAGACCTGCGTAGACAAAAACAGGGCTTTTTTTGTAGAAAAAGCCCAGCAGGAACTCATTAACATAATAGACCACACCCAAAAGCAGAAACTCATTAGCATTTTAGGCCACACCCCTGGTATCACAGGTCATTGGCATATTAGGCCACACCCCCATGTTACCAGAAGTGTGGTCATCCAGCCACACCCACCTTTTGCTTGTTATTCTGTTTACCTTGTTTGTGGTCAAAACCGAGGGCTTTTTTGTAGCAGGAACTCCTTTGCATGTTAGGCCACACACCCCTAATGTAGCCAATCCTAATGAGTTTCTGCTGTTGGGTGTGGCCTATTATGCTAATGAGTTCCTGCTGGGTGTGGCCAACTCGGGAGCCAGCCGGAACTCCGTTCCTGTGCGTTCCTGCCCCAAAATAGCCCTGGACAAAAATGCATGCGTCTGGCGTGACCTCAGGCCTTTGTGCGTGCACTCATGAGAATGCAAAACCACAGAGGCCCCCCATTCCAGACAGAGCAGGCCTGGGATCAGGAGCAGAGACCACCTGAACCGCCACATCAGCTGTCACTAACTGAGCCATCGCCAAAACAGCAGTATACGGACAGCAATTTGCCAGAGACAGAAAACAGAAAACCAAGAGCTCGACTCAAGTCCGGGAGCTCCTTAGAGACCAATAAGATTTTCAGGAGATGTGCCTTGGAGGGTGAACGTTCCTTTCATCAGATGCAAGGTTGTACCTGACGAAGGGTGCTTTGACTCCCAAATGCTCATATCCCGAAAATCCTGTCGGTCTCTAAGGTGCTCCTGGACTCACGTCTACCTCTTCTGCTGCAGACCAACACAGCCGTCCTCTGACAAAATCAAGACTGTCCCCTTCTATAGGTGTTCCTCCTTGGGAGGAAAGCGATGGCGAACCTAAACAGCATGATAAACACCCTGCCAACAAAAGTCTGCATGGTCAAAGCAATGGTATTCCCAGTAGTCATGTATGGCTGCGAGAGTTGGACTATAAGGAAGGCCAAGCGCCGAAGAATAGATCCTTTGGAACTATGGTGCTGGAGAAGACTCTTGAGAGTCCCTTGGACTGCAAGGAGATCAAATCAGTCAATCCTAAAATAAATCAACCCTGACTGTTCCCTGGAAGGCCAGATAATGAAACTGAAGCTCAAAGACTTTGGCCACCCAATGAGAAGGGAGCACTCACTGGAGAAGACCCTGATGCTGGGAAAGATCGAAGGTCAAAGGAAACGGGGACAGCAAAGGGTGAGATGGTTAGACAGTGTCATCGATGCAACGAACATGAAATTGAGCCAACTTCAGAGGACGGCGGAAGACCGGAAGGCCTGGCAGGAGCTGGTCCATGGGGTCGCGAAGAGTCGGACTCGACTGAGCGACTGAACAACAACAAATAGGTGTTCTATTCCCATCATCACCCTTCTCTCCATTCTTGCTCAAGGATTCATTGAAATGTGACCTCTGGGAGTGGAATTCTGCCCATTTGCATGCACAGCTGAAAATTAATTTTTCCACAGCTTGGAGCGCAACTCGCCGTGGCACATGGAGCATGGAGCTTGGGTTTTAATTGAATCAAAACTCCATCCCTTATTAAGTTCTCAATGTCTTAGGTGCCTTATGCCCCAGGGCACCCACAAAAGTTGTCTGGGCTGTAATTAACATTAGGCATCGTGCCCAAACCCATTTGGCAGCAAACGCACTACAAGTTCCAGGGTGTGCTGAGGAGGGATATGATGTCATAACCTTACTGATGCTGAGCCAATCTGGGTCTGATCAATGTCTGGATGTGAAACCATTTGGGGAGCCTGAGCTGAGTGCCAAGATGGAAGAAAAGAGAGTTATAAATGCGTTAATAACAGCTGCTGCACGTGACTGAGACAAGAAAGGCAGATCACGAGAGGGAGGGCAGGAAGGGTTGCCTCGGTGCTTAGTTCTTGTGCTTCTAGTTTCTTACACGCCCAGGGAAATGCTGATTGCGACTTTGGGGTCAGGAAGCCATTTTTCTCCAGGCCAGTTTGGCCGGAGATCCTGGAGGATTTTTTTTCATCTTCTGGGCACTGTGGGTGTGGAGGGGGGAGGTATTTGTGCATTTCCTGCATTGTGCAGGGGGTTGGACTAGATGACCCTGGAGGACCCTTCGAACTCTATGATTCTATGAAAAGGATGACAAAATTGAGACAGCATTACTTTAAGAAAAGTCTGAGGACAGAGATACTTCAGTATCTAAAACAGCCCCTCTCTGATATACAGATCAGCTGTTACATTGTGAGCTGTTGTACAAATCTGGAGTCTTGTGCAGAGGATATTACTTTCACACTAAGGAGATTCCAGATCATTTCACTAAGGCAGAAACGACGGCACACGTAGCACAACATTTAATCTGGCCCTGAACTTTGGAAACTGATCAAAACTGATTTAAGTGATTATTTTTTATCATGTAGATCTGGTAGTTCCATTTAAAAAAAGAGCATTACAGGCTACTCCCTCTAGCAGGTACTAAGTCAGTCTCCCATTTCCCAATGAAATGCCGGGGTGGTTTGCCAGACTCATCACATATATCATAACTAGGGGCAGTGCGGCATAGCGGTTAGAATGTCAGATTAGGGCTGGGGATTCAAACGCCAGTCCTAACCATGACCCTTCCCTAAGCAACCCTGGTGCTGGTCACTCTTTCTGATTCTAGCCTACTACACTGGGCTGTTGTGAGGATAAAACAAGGGGAGGGTATTTACTCCTCGCCTCCTTTAGAAGAACGTTAAGAAAAATAAACACCAGGGGTGGTGTGAAAAAGTACAAGATTTTTGGAATAGGATACAGAAAATGATTTTGGAAATAACAAATGTTAAAATCGCGTTGTCTCCTGAAATTGTACTGTTAAATATGACACCAGATAGCTGGAAGTGGAAAGATAAATATATTATAATTTATATACTCACAAGTGCAAGAATTTTATTAGCTAAATACTAGAAGTTAGAACAGATTCCTACACAGGAGGAGGTAATAAGTAGATTACTGGAGATGGCAGAGATGGACAAATTAAGTTTAGTCCTTCAAGGGAAGGATGAAAAAGTGTATGCTGAAAGATGGAAGCGTCTATATGATTGGATTAAGTTAAGAAGATAAGTGTAGACTCCATAATATGTAAGAAGTTGTATATGTGAATGTGCATTTCTTATAAAAAACGAAAATAAAGTTATTAAAAAATAAATAAATAAACACCAGGAAATGTCGTGGTTTCCATATACACTCTCCTCCTCTTACCTTCGTGGCTATTTGTTAAAGGCTAATTGGTGAAATGAAAACCTTCATTCTCAGGGGGGGATAATCCTTTCCTCAGAAAGTCACGCACACAAGGACCGGCTGGGTTTTAAAAGCCAGAACGAGGAGGGGGAGCTGGGAAGTGGTTGTTGCCGGCTATCGTGGCAGAGCGAAGCGAAATAATTAAAAGACATTTACCTAAAAATCCGTCACCTCCAGGTAGGAATCGCTCACCTTCTTACTGTCCCTGTATCCCTTGTCCAGGATGCTTTGGAAATTCTTTCCATGGTCTCCCTCCAGGCCCGTAGCTACAGTGGGGCATCTTGGGGAGGGCCGCCCCCGACCTACTGCCAAGGCTCTCCCCGACTTCCCATCCAGCCCCCAGGCGCTCCCAGGGGGGGGGTTGTAGAGGTGTGTGCGAGGTGCCCTCTGACTTATTTAAAGTCCCCCCCCAAAAAAAATTAAAAAATCCTGGCTATGGGCCTGTCTCCCTACCTCACAGAGCTGCTACCGGGAAAGGAAAGATGACATTCCCAAGCATTATGCTGTAGTAAATGCAACTGCACCATTATGGGTTGGTGGCTAGAAGTTCAATCTTGCTCAGTGCAAAGCAAAAGGATGGCTTCCTATTACCTTTTAGCAATGTGTTGCTTATAATTATAGGATGGAACAATCGAAATTGCAAATGTTTCGCGTACTTAAAGAGCGCTGTCCTGAAACTGGGGAAGGGGCTTTTCGAGGCCAGTGATGGGAGCAGGCAGGGCTGGGCACCTGCCGGGGCTTGCATATCGTGACAAGTGGGCCGCCCCGACAGGAGATGCTGGAGCTGTCTCCCAGTAGGAAGCTGGGTCGATCTACCATTTCCCAATGAACGAAATGCCAGGAAGGAGTGGGAGATGCCGAGCACCAGGAAAAGCTCTCTCTGTGCTGCCTTCTCCACGGCCCCAACCTGATCGACCAAGAAGGGCCCCCAAAACACTGCAAGCATTCTTCTTGCTCTTGGGGTCCCCCCAGCCTACTTGAGTCTGCGTACATTGGGGGGGGGATTGAGGACAGTTAGGGGGCACTGCTGCCGAATAATGATGGGCATGGTCGGCCACAGGATTACTGCCTTGGGGGAGGGACCAGTCACAAAATATTTGGAGGTTCTGACCAGTGTTCCCTCTAAGCTGAGTTAGTGTGAGCTAGCTCACAGTTTTTTAGCCTCTGGCTCACACATTTTTGTCTCCGCTCAGGAAGGATGGCTCCAGAGCCAACTAATTTATGCAGTAGCCAAGTCGCTCGCTCACAACTTTAATGCCAGTAGCCCACAAAGTAGAATTTTTGCTCACACAACTCCACAGCTTAGAGGGAAAATTGGTTCTGACCCAAGCAGCTGTTTTTGAGTGGGTGCTCCTTGCGGAGCCAAAGGTGACTCCTCCTGGAGTCTTCTAAAGCATCTCCTGCTCCAATGAGGTGGAGAAAGCCAGGATCGGCTCTTTGCTTTGGGAAGCTGGAAGTAGGTGCCAACAAACTGGCAGGCACAACGATGGAGGTCACTAGAGCCAGCCCTGAGAACATTCAATGGAATCAAGCCCTAGGAAGCCAGGCAGGATTTTCCACTGTTCACTAAGGTATTATGCTCAAATTATAACAAATAATCATTCATTTTCAACCTGTTTCTTTTTCTGAAGGCCCAAACCACACATTACTGCATGATCTCAGGCACAGGCAGCTTGAGTTATGAAAATACTAGTCAAATTCCAGGCTCTGCGACCTGTTTGGAATCCCAAGCTACTTCGCAAGTCCTTCCATAAAGAGGGCAGGGTATTTGCGTCTCTCGATCTTTCCAACCTCGAAGCCATTAACCGCTGTGAAAAGGAGGTCCCCGAGTACTTTAATTTTGCAAACGATGTTCTGGACAAGTGGTCAAAGATAGAAAAGGTAACTGTAGCTAAAACAGCAACTCCCTGCTTTGGAATAGAGAGTTAATATATCCTTTAATTTTGCAAACGATGTTCTGGACAATTGGTCAAAGATAGAAAAGGTAACTGCAGCTAAAAACAGCAACTCCCTGCTTTGGAATAGTGAGTTAATATATTCTCTGAATGGAGAAACGGTTTTACAAACAGGTAGTGGCAGGGAGGCAAGTTTGGTGTAGTGGTTAAGAGTGTAGTGGTTAAGTTTGATTCCCCACTCTTCCACATGCAGCTGCTGGTGGTGGGACCTTGGGTCAGTCATAAGTTCTTTCAGAGCTGTTCTCTCAAGGGCAGTTCTTGAAAGGGCTCTCTCAGCCCCACCTCCCTCACAGGCAGTGTTCCCTCTAAGCTGAGTTAGTGTGAGCTAGCTTACAGTTTTTTAGCCTCCAGCTCGCACATTTTTGTCTTAGCTCAGGAAGGATGGCTCCAGGGCAAGCTAATTTATGCAGCAGCCAAATCGCCTGCCCACAACTTTAATGCCAGTCGCTCACAGAGTAGATTTTTTGCTCACAAGACTCCACTGCTTAGAGGGAGCATTGCTCACAGGGTGTCTGTTGTGGGGAGGGGAAGGGAAAGGTGTTCTGAGACTGCTTTGGATAGAGAAGGGTGGGGTATACATCCAATTTCTTCTTCTTCTTCTTCTTCTTCTTCGTCTTCTTCAGAATGGAGCCAGAATTATAAGGAGGCCATGCTGAACCATTGCCTGGGGTGGGATGGGGCATATTTCTGTCTCAAGCTATGCTTCTGCATAGGAAGACAGAAACAAATGCAGCCACATGAATTCTCACAGTTTTTGCCCGGGTTCACATCAGACTAAAATAATGTAGCTTGAACTCGACTCAGAGCTAGACTCTGACTTAATGTTCTCTCTTCGGCCTGGCCGAGAGAGCGAAAGCAACTGGCTCAGGCCAGCTAATGAGCTTCACAATGAGCGGGGATTTGAGCCCTTATGTTCCCCCAAGAGCACTATGGTCGGGGGCCCAAAATCTGTTGGTCATCCCGGGCCCCAAGGACACCAAACTGACTGCGACCAGGGCCAGGGCTTTTTCAGTGGCGGCTCCTACCTGGTGAAATGAGCTCCCAGGGGAGATCTGGGCCCTGCGGGACCTTACGCAGTTCCGCAGGGCCTGCAAGATGGAGCTCTTCCGCCAGGCCTTTGAGTAGGAGCCACCGCCCCTCTATACCATCACCGTCACTGTACCTAAAGAATTGCTCTGATGGGGCCCTGAGGAAGAACTGGAAAT